TTTTATAAGTTAAAAGGTAACTTTTTGATAATAAAAAAACATAAGTTAAAAAGATATATTGTAAAAGCATTTCTTAAATTTTGTCAAAATGAACCTTTGACCAATAATGTCATTTACACATCATTCTTATATTATTGTATTTTTAATAATAAAATAAAAAATACAAATTTAATTCAGTAAACATTTTCTATTATTTTTTTCAAAAAAATATTTGAATATATGAATACGAAAATAACATTGATCATAATCAATCCAATGCTAAGACTACTTTTCTACACGAGTAATAAATATATAAAATGATGATTTCAATTTGGAAGCAAAAAATCTGAAAGCCATCATTTTTGAAAGGATAAACCGCAATAACAGTAGTTAGGAGCGATGACGCGCATGTCACTTAGAAGGTCGAATTGCCGAATACTAATTAGGTACAAAACTTTTATAGTCTTCTGATATATTTTTTTGGTAACAATAGTCTTCTCATATTTTTATTTGAATATAAATTTACAAATGGAGGGTAAATTTAATTTTTCGGATGGTGAGAGACTTTAGTTTCGCCACCAATTTCTTATTTAAATTTAAGAAACATTTTTTCATAAAATAAATTTATTTCTATTTAAATATCAAAATATTCAAATAAATTTTTTACAAACAATTTAATCAAGTTCAAATTGAGTACGAATTCCTACATATATCATTTTAAAAAGAGTTTGAATGTAATTACAAGTAGTAATTATCTTGCTTATTGTATCAGTATTTATAAATACAGTTAAAATCTAAAAAATATATATTAAAAAGTATTTGACATTATAAAAAAATGAGAGATTCCAAACGTGAGAGATAATGATCTTGATCTTGAAAACCTGAGATATGGTGATCATGGAGAGCAGCTTGAAAATCCGAGGCGCTGCGATTAATTTTATTTTATATTTTTCTAGTAGTTTTCTGATGAGGGGCGGGTGGTAACCGGTGGTAACCAGCACTTGATAGAGTGACAATAGCGATATTTTTGTCTTAAAATATTTAAATATGTTTAATTATTCTAATTTTATAATATAAGGAGTGATAAATCCATGAAATGTGACTTAAAACATATGATTTCTAATATGAAAATGTAAAAAAAAAATACTTTTTGTGTTAATATATACCCCAATTACATTGAGCTGAAATATTGTTGATTTAATTGCTAATGGGCTTCATTTTGAATTTCAGGCCCACATATTAATACTTCCCAAAGCAAAGAAGAAAGAAAAGAAAAGAAAGTGGACTGAATTTTACAATGCAAGTCAGAAAGGCCCAAATAAATAACAAGAAAAGGAAAAGAGTGTAAGAAAAAAAAGCCAAGACAATGTTGCATATTTGGGAAAACCAACTTCCAAGCAGTAGAACCCTAGCCCCTCAGCATTCAAACCTTCCATCACAAATCAGACCACTTACCCATCTTGATTTCAATCAGTCCACCAAACCCACAAATCAAACCAGCCACACATAAAGAAGAATCTCTTTTTTATTTTGCGAATCTGAGGTAGTTACGGGTCTATGGTGCGAAGCGAGCATAGAGTGGAAAGGTGCACATGCGTTGATTGATCTCATTGTGTGAGAGGAGACACGTGGATTCTAATCAGAAGGCTCACGTTGTTGCTGCTTGCAAGGAGTAGAAGATATAAAGAAGCTATGGGTAAAGACTTTGGGGGAGACTTCTTCCGTAATCTTCTTCTCCATTTCTCTTTTTTTTTCTGGTACTGTAAATAGATGCTACCTTGTTTGGATTAGAGCATGTCAGTACAGTACTGAGGTTATTCTGGTGAATAGGACTCGTATTGTATTTTACGGTTTCTGCACTTTATTTTTCATGTAATTTTTCGTTTCATTTGTTGTTTTTGTAGCTTGGCCCTTATGGGTATGAGCTAAACCTTTTAAGGTTGGGTCTAGGTTACCCGAACCTCAGTAATGGATGATTGTTAATTACTTTTGTGAAACTTTGATTCTCAGTTGTTTAATACCATGCTTTGTATTTAAATATTTTGTCATTGAGGTCTGATGGTAGATGTTATGTTAGGAAGTAGTCATCGAGAGGTAACTAGTTCTGGAAATGTATTAAGCACATGGACTTGATTGTGAGAGCATTCAAGGGCTGTCACTTAGATATGAGGGCAGCCACCATGTAATTTTGGACTTGAAATGCATGAATCCTTACTTCATTTAACACAGAGATGTGTAAATGATTGTTTGGGATAAAATGATTTTAAGAGATTAAAATTATCAAGAAGTGTTCCGTTAACTGAGAATTAAATTTTAGTAATCTGTAATTGGCATTCAAACCATTGCTGTGGAAAAGGTAAACCGAAGCCCAACCTATTTTTCCAACCATTTTCACAAACTCATTTTTCTGTTCCTCTGATTTTTAATTTTTCAATCATCATTCTGTTTTTAGAAGTTGTTTTTGTTATCTAAAAATTCTTTTTACATCAGATACTTAAATTGTTTTTCCCACTATTTTATTTTATCACTTAGTCCAAGAAATCAATTCTGAAAATTCTAAAAAATAGAGTCACTAGTCAGTAATATTTTAACTTAGTTTTGTGATTACTTTGTTTTTATTTTTACTCTCTTTTTAGATTAGATTTAGTTTTAGCAATTCCAAATTTTAGTCAAGTTGAAAACGCCTAAGATCCTTGTGGGAACGATATTAGGGTCTCAAATACGCCCTATATTACTTGTTGTCGCGTATACTTGCACGCTTACTTGCATAACTGTTAGCAAGGCAAAAAGTTTTTGGCGCTGTTGCCCTAGATTTAATTATTCTAATTTTATAATATGAGGAGCTTTTTTTGTTTCAATTGAAAGTAAAAGGTGGTTATTTGTAAAATCACTAAAGTAGAGGCTGGTGTTATGTAATTTAGCCAAACACTTAAGGAAAGACCATAAACAAAAATACTTTAAAAGTATAATTACATCAAATTGGACAATAGTTTCATTGAACTTCTCTAGAATCAAGGGGTTAATGCAAAGGAAGATTAAGTAAATAATAATAATAATAATAAATTTATAAATAAAAAGGATACAAACCACTTAGCAAAATTCAAGTTTAACAATATTAAGTTGAAAACTGATTTAGATCATAAGGCATCGTTAGTCATGTATGATTTAGACTACCAAACTTCATGGAGACCATGTTGGAGGTAATGAGTTTGAGAGAGAAGGGTTTGGGGGCAGTGTTGGTACTTGAAGTATTACACCAAGAGACATCAAATTTGGAATGCTCAACAGTGTTGCCTCCAGCTTAGGAAACCCTAGAGATAATGCAAGCTATTGGACTCCAGCAAATATGGACCCAAATAACCATGTTTTCACTTATTGGGCTTATATGTGAACATACTATTGGATTATATTATTAATAGAGTAAACACCCTTTTTAGTCCCTGGCAATATCTACGAAGTCCTTTTCAGTCCCTAGCAATAAAAAAGGACCAAATTGGTCCCTGAAAGTACAAGAAAAGGGCCACTCTACATATTTGGGAGTTGACATAAGGACTAACATGGCCCTTTTTTTGTAATTTCAGGGACCAATTTGGTCCTTTTTTATTGCCAGGGACTAAAAAGGACTTCGTGGATATTGACAGGGACTAAAAAGGGTGTTTACTCTTATTAATATATCCAACAATCTCCTCAAATGTTCACCATATAACACAATCCAATAAAGTGATCAATGTAATGTTCAAACAAATATGAATCATTCATATCCAGTCCACGACAATTAACTCGGATCAATCAAAGAGTTTTAACAGTAAAATATTAAACTCAATCGTCTTTTTCAATCTAAATAAATAAATCATCATTATAATGAATCTGTTCTAAGACCAACATACTAAATAAATATTTAGAGTTTTAGATTCAATCTAAACTCATCCAAATCCCAACATCCAAAATAAGTCTCAAAATCAATTCACTATCAACAATGTTCATAAAATAAAGATAGCAAAATGTAAGTCTCAAATAAATGGACTCCATCAAAATGGGCAATAGCGGGTGAACTGTCAACTCCCCACATACTCTAAATGATATATTCATTCATCAAGGAGGTGATCTTAGTCAAGATCCCTCTCCTTAAGCTCTCCTCCATCTTTGCCATCCTCTAGAGAATATCAAATATGAATTTCATATTATTATAAATTCAATCGGTTGAATAATCTACCAAAGATGTCTAGTTCTACTAAAAGAACTTAGCATCATATCATCAGGCAAAGAAGAACATATATTAATGTCATGTTCATAAGCATCAAGCCAGTTTCATAAATTATGAACAAGGCCTAAACAGTTTGTTTTGCAAAGAGCCATCAACTTAAGTTTATTTGTAAGAGAATAACCATTGTCTAGTTTCAATGAACAAGACCAATAGTCAAGTCACTTACAATAAGCTGGTCATGTGATGTCAAGTTTCAATTAAGAACAAGACCCACTGACTTCTTATGCAAACTACTATGTCAATGTTTCAATTTGGAATGTCACAATTATTGATTCCTCAAAATCAAATAATCTAGCATCAAGTTTGGAATGAGATCATTTAACTAAAAGGATGGTCCAACCTAGTTGGATTGTGATACACATCAGGAAACCAGAAGCAACGAACCAAGGAGAATAAATAGAGAAAGGAAACTTTCATCAAGGCTTAGGGATTTTTTGTGTTAAAGACACGTATCAACACGTGTTAGTTCTTTGAGGAATTAGAGACAGGTGTAGGAATAAAGGGAAGGGAACTGGAGTATTCACACGTGTAAGGGTGTGGAAAGAGAGAATTGTATAAAAGGGAAAACAAGGGGACATTAGTGGGTTATCAATTCATTGTTGTAAAAACACTTGGCTACCATTGAATAAAATTCTTCTCTCTCTGTTGCTCAGAGGAATTACCCATTTTTTGCATCTCTTGATTCGTTTGGTTCTCTATTCCCTGTTGCTCAGGTAGAGTCCAACATTGGTGCTTTCATTCTTGTTCTCTCCTCACGATGCGGGTTCAGGAACTAGCGGAGGTCGTTGCATCTTTGCAGAATCGTTTCGACGACTCCCAAAACCAGATCTCACTACTGGTTGCTCAAATGCAACAATTGAATGATTCCATGGGGGTTCTTCATTCGCAGGCAGGCAAATCACCGGGGAATCAGCACGATTCAAGCACAGGCTCATCTTCGGCTGGTTCCACAGATTTTCCGAACGAGATGGGGAAAAAGGATACCACAGACCCACGATCGTTGCTGAAATTTGTGAAAATGGAGATTCCGCTATTTGATGGCACAAATCCAGATAATTGGATTTTCAAAACAGAACTCTTCTTCGAATTACAGAAGGTTCCACCGGCGTTAAAAGTCCAATTAGCAGGTCTGAGGATGGAAGGTCCTGCTTCATCATGGTTCCAGTGGACTTACAAAGGAGGAACAATTCGTCTATGGCCAGATTTCACAAAGGCATTACGGCAGCGTTTTGGTGTGAAGCCACATCAAAACATTACGGGCATGCTTTCTAAGGTAACGCAAACAGGAACACTCAAAGATTATTTGTTTGAATTTGAAAAGTTGATGAATCAGACTACCAATGTTGATGATGATTTGTTATTGAGTTTTTTTGTTTCGGGGTTATCTCCTGATTTACGAAGAGCAATTGAAATTCATGAGCCAAAAACTCTTCAACGAGCAATGCATTTTGCATTTGTTTGTGACGCTCATTACACAGACCTACGTGTATCTATGAATAATGGGGCATCAAACAACCCGAGGAGAACACAATTTCGCAGCTACCAGTCCAGTGAAGGGGTGACCAATCAAATTGCGAACATAACGCCTTCGGTGGGCACCACAATACCCAACAAAACTGTAGCAGTCCACTCTTCAACAACTCAGAATCCATCATCTCAGACATCAACATCCCAGGTACCGGTTAAGAGAATGTCTTAAGAAGAGTGGAATAAAAGACGTGAATTAGGCCTATGTTTCAGTTGTGATGAAAAATGGAATAAACAGCATAGATGTAAAGGGAAATTCTTACTTCTGGTGGGTGAGGAGCAGGGCGAGGAGGAAGATGGTGAGGAAATTGTTTGGAATTTTAATGAGACTGCTGCGGTCAATGAGGATGCAGCACTGTATTCCTTGTCTGAAATACACAATTCCAAAGCCTTGAATTTTGTTACCACCATTCAAGGACAAACAGTAACAATACTAGTAGATACTGGTAGCACGCACAGCTTTATACAGCGACATTTAGTTTCAGCTTTGCAGATCCCAGTGATACACATAAGGAAAATGAGAGTTTTCCTAGGAAATGGTGAGTTCTTGGTATGTGACAGTAAATGCCCGAAGGTGAAGTTGATGGTGCAAGGCCAGACATTTGAGATGGATTTATGGGTACTTGATCTTGATACACTGGGAATCATCTTGGGAATGACATGGTTGGAATCATTGGGCAAAGTAACACATGATTACAACCAACTAACAATGGAGTTTGATTGGCAAGGGAAGTTGGTTCAGTTGAAGGGGGAATCTCATGAAGGCATCCAAAAGAAGTCTGTAGTAGGGAGTTGTCTATCTTTAGCCTGTGAAACGCAACATCAGTCTGAGACTACATTGGATAGTGAATTAGTGAAACTGCAACCATCTGTTCATCTTGAATTGTGGCAACTTTTGGTGGAATATCAAGCTTTTTTTTCCATTCCAAAGTCCCTGCCACCATTTCGCTTTATGGATCATGCAATTCATTTGGAAATAGGGTCCAAACCTGTCAATGTAAAGCCATATCGGTATGGCTATCATCAAAAAGAGGAGATAGAGAAGCAAGTGACCGAATTGCTGGCTTCAGGCTTCATCCAATACAGCACAAGCCCTTATTCTTCTCCAGTTTTATTGGTTAAGAAACAGGACAGCACTTGGCGGATGTGTATAGATTATAGGGCTCTTAATGCCCTTACTGTTCGGGATCGGTTTCCTATGCCTACTATTGATGAACTAATTGATGAATTGGGAGGATCCACTATTTTTTCCAAACTTGATTTGAGAGCGGGGTATCATCAGATCAGAATGCTACCTCAAGACATACCAAAGACAGCTTTTCGAACCCATGAAGGACACTATGAGTATTTGGTCATGCCTTTTGGGTTGACAAATGCTCCAAGCACATTTCAGGCAGTGATGAATAATCTCTTTCGTCCCTTCTTACGTAGATTCATTATTGTTTTTTTTAATGACATCCTTGTATATAGCTCTTCATTACAGGATCATATACAGCACATGCAGATTACATTGCACACTCTTAGCCAGAATCAATTTTTTGTTAAAATGAGTAAGTGTGCCTTTGGAGTGGAGGAGATTGACTACCTTGGCCATAAGGTGTCTCACAAAGGGGTTCATGCTGATACTAAGAAGATAGAAGCCATGCTATCTTGGCCACCACCTAAGTCAATCAAGCAACTAAGGGGATTTCTTGGTCTTACCGGATACTATAGACGTTTTGTCCAGAATTATGCAACCATAGCTTCCCCACTCACTGATTTGTTGAAGCAAGGAGCTTTTAATTGGGGCGAGGAAGCACAGAAAGCTTTTGAATTCTTAAAGATGGCAATGGCAAGCACACCTGTTTTGGTGCTGCCTAATTTCAGCCTTCCATTTGTCCTAGAAACTGATGCTTCCAATTCAGGAATTGGAGCAGTCTTATTACAACAGGATAGACCAGTATCATTCTTCAGCAAACGCTTGGGACCAAGATTAGCTACAGCCTCTACATATGTGCGAGAATTATATGCCATCTGTGAAGCGGTGAAGAGGTGGCGACAATACTTACTTGGAGCTCATTTTACTATCCGGACAGACCATAGAACTATTGGGGCAGACCATTCAAACCACGGAGCAACAGAAATACTTGTGCAAATTACTGGGTTATTCATTTAATATTGAATAAAAACCTGGTCCTTTGAATGTGGTTGCAGACGGATTGTCTCGTTGTTTTGAAGAAGACAACCTTGCTGCAGTTCATGCTTTACTTGGTGAACCAACCTTTGATCTACTGGCTCGAATTAAAGAGGAGAATGGCAGTGATATATATTTGAGCTCTTTGCACCAGCAAGTAGCAACTGATCCTGGATCATTCCCTCAACTTTCAGTGAAAGAAGGGATGTTGTTTCATAAGCAACGGTTTCTGTTGAGTCCTACATCCAAGATCATACCAGAAATTTTACAAGAGGCTCATGATTCCACATTTGGAGGTCATGCTGGAGTCCTTCGTTCTTTACTTCGAGTTTCCTCCTCTTTTTACTGGGACTCAATGCGCAAGGATATTAAGGCCTATGTCCGCAATTGCCAAGTTTGTCAACAATTCAAATCACCAACTTCAGCTCCACACGGCTTGCTTCAGCCACTGCCAACACCTGAGGGTGTATTTGAAGATCTCACCTTAGACTTTATTGTTGGATTGCCTTTATCTCACGGGTTTACTACAATCTTGGTTACTGTTGATAGATTGAGTAAATTTGCCTACTTTGGAGCTCTTCCTACGTCATTCACAGCTGCTAAGGTGGCACATATTTTTTGTGACATGATTGTTAGGAACCATGGTTTCCCTCGATCCTTGATATCTGACAGAGACAAAAAAAAATTTGAGCCAATTCTGGACCAGCCTCTTCAAGCAGAGTGGCACTACTTTGAAGGCCAGTACAGCTTACCACCCCCAAACGGATGGCCAAACCGAGGTCACTAATAGGTATGTTGAACAGTATCTTCGAATTTTCTGTCATGAGAAACCACATACTTGGTCCCAATTCCTCTGTTGGGCACAATTCCACTATAATATCGCTGTCCATTCGGCCATTGGTATGTCCCCATTTGAGGCGTTGTATGGCAAGCAACCTGTGATGTTGCCTTATTATCCACGAGGGCTGGTGAAAGTGGAAGCAGTAGACTCCTTACTGCAAGAGCGAAATGACTTGCTCAAAGGATTGAAGACTTCTTTGGCTCGAGCTCGCAACCAGATGAAAAGCCAAGCAGACAAACATAGACAAGACAAGGTATTTGTAGTTGGTGATTTTGTGTGGGTGAAGCTTCAACCGTACCGACAGGTTTCTGTAGAAAAGAGGTGTAATCACAAACTCGGGAAACGTTTCTTTGGTCCTTTTAGAGTCACCAAAGTCGTCAGTCCTGTGGCATACCAATTAGATCTCCCTGAAGGATGTAAGATCCACTCCACATTCCATATCTCGTTGCTTAAACCATGGTTTGGTACTAGTTCTCCACAACCAGTTTACATTCCCCAGTTGTCAATTGATAACAGACCGATTCAGGTCCCGATAGCAATTCTGTCTTCACGCACAATAGCAGCTCATGGTTCCCATCAGAAGGAATTTCTAATACAATGGTCTGCCTCACCACCGGAGGATGCATCATGGGAGCAGGAACAGTACTTGCGATTGGCATATCCACATATCAACCTTGAGGACAAGGTTGTTGTTGAAGAGGGGGCATATGATACACATCAGGAAACTAGAAGCAACGAACCAAGGAGAATAAATAGAGAAAAGAAACCTTCATCAAGGCTTAGGGATTTTTTGTGTTAAAGACACGTATCAACACGTGTTAGTTCTTTGAGGAATTAGAGACAGGTGTAGGAATAAAGGGAAGGGAACTGGAGTATTCACACGTGTAAGGGTGCGGAAAGAGAGAATTGTATAAAAGGGAAAACAAGGGGACATTAGTGGGTTATCAATTCATTGTTGTAAAAACACTTGGCTACCATTGAATAAAATTCTTCTCTCTCTGTTGCTCAGAGGAATTACCCATTTTTTGCATCTCTTGATTCGTTTGGTTCTCTATTCCCTGTTGCTCAGGTAGAGTCCAACAGATTGTATCATCAAGTTTGGAATAACACATGTTTCCCAGGTAGAACCTTTGAATCAGGTCCAAGTTATCTTCGTTAAGTTTGGAATGAGACAACTTACCCTTTTCAAATTAATCAATAACCATGATCATTGATGAAACATATAAATAATGCTTATCATTTTGGCTAACAAAAAGAAGATATGATAATTCAAAACACACAATTAAAAGGTAAGTAAATGGTAATTAAGACTTGTCTATGTAGTCTTTAATCCCATTTCCCCCATTGTTTTGAATAATCGATCTTTAGGCATACCTTTTGTGAGAGAATCGGCCAAGTTATCCTTCGATCTCACATCAATCAAGGTGATAACTCCTTGTTCTCTCAGATAATTCAACAAAGCATGTCTCAGTCTCATATGTCTTCTCTTTCAATCAAAGAGAGCATTTTTTTTAACAACTTGGACAACTGCTTGATTATCACAAAATAGGCTTAAAGAATTAATCTTTAGCCAAGTCAAAGGAATATCCATAACCAGATTCTTTATCCACTTTTCCTCTTTGCCGGCTAAGGCTAAAGCAAAAAGTTCTGATTCCATAGATGACAATGCAATACAAGTCTATCTTTTGGATTTCCAAGTAATAGCAACTCCACCCAAAGTGAATACATATCCATTAATGGACTTACTATTTCCTATTTATGAGCCACATGACGCATCAGAATATCCATCCATGATTGAAGGATAACCAGAGTAGTATAGAGCATAATTTTTCGTACCTTTGAGGTATCTCATCAGCTTATCGAGGGTATCCTAATGCTCTTTACTAGGATTACTAGTGAAACGACTCAGCATGCAACTGTAAAAGGCTATGTCAGATCTAGTGCAGCTTGCAGCATACATGATACTACCAATCAGTTTTTGATATTTTAATTGATCCACGCTGGTCCCTTCACGAGGACTCAGTCTTTTATCATAATCACATGGTATCTCATTCAGTTTGCACTCACTGTATCCCCAGGCAGAAAGTGGCTGCTCAATATAATGAGTCTGGCTAAGGGAGATAACTTGTCTATCAAAGCTTACTTTCGTACCAAGAATGGTATTAGCAATACCAGGATCTTTCATGTCAAACTCTTTAGCTAAATTAGCTTTCATGTCACTCAATGTAGAATAATCAGAGCCAAGAATTAACATTTCATCAACTAGTTGTCTTTACATCCATTTGAAGAACTACATAGTGTTCAATAGATGTCAAAGCAAGAAAAATTCTTATAGTTAATAGATAACACATAGGTGAGTCGACACCAAAATAGTCTACTTCACTTTGTTGTCTATAGTCTTTAGCTATTAAATGTGTTTTGTAACTGGCTATCAATCCATCCCTATTCAGTTTCTTCTTCACTACCAACTTACAACCTATAGCTTTAGCCTCTTTCGGCAAATTGGCTAGCTGTCAAGTATGATTATACAGCAGAGAGCTCATTTCATCATCTTCGGCTTCTACCAACAGTAGAGATTCCCTAGATCTCATTGCTTTCTCATAGTCATAGGAGAACGAATCATCCTCTAGATAGTAAATGACAAAGTCCTCACCAAAGTCTTTGGAAACTCTTTCTCTCTCTCTCTCTCTCTCTCTCTCTCTCGTAGATAATCTAACTGGAACTGATTCAATAGCTAGTTATATGGGGTAAGTGTCAGAAGGGCTTGCTTCAGATTCTATAGTAGATTCTAAAATCATATCTGTAGATCCAGAAACACTCAAGCCATGATCGTTGATAAACTTATTCTCAAATAATTCTGCATCTCTGGATTCTATCACCGCATTTGTAGATAGATCTAAAAACCTATTTGTAGCATTATCTTCTGCACTTCCCAGATATACACAAGGAATGGTTCTAGGTCCTACCTTAGGTCTCTTAAGATCTTGTATTCTTACATAAGCAATACATCTCCAAGTCTTAAGAGTATCATATCTACAAGAACGCTTATGCCATATCTCATAAGGAGTCATAGACAACTTAGAGTGCGGCAACCTATTCAAGATGTGATTAGCAATTAGAATCGTTTCTCCCCAATAGGAGAAATGCATGCCATCTCTAAGTAACATAGAGTTTAAAATTTCAATTAATGTCATATTCTTGCGCTCAGCAACACCATTTGATTGGGGTGAGTAAGGAGCAGTGGTTTCAAGTATTATGCCCTCCGAAGCACAAAATTTCTTGAACCTTGTCATTGTGTATTCTCCTCCTCTATCACTCCTAAACCTCTTAATTTTCAAGTTGAGTTAATTTTTTACTCTTGACTTTCAAAAGCTTCATTCTTTGATTTCAACAAATAGACATGACAATATCTAGAAAAATCATCTATGAATGTTATCAAGTACTTCTGACCACCTCTAGTAACATAATTTCTAAAGTCACAAAGGTCATAATGTATTAGGTCATAATTTCTAGTGATCTTAGTTTGTGCGCATATTTCACATTTGTCAAATCGAATAGATGCATCTAATGAAATATCATGAGTTTTAGCTAGATGTTGCATTTTTCTGTAGTTCACATTTCCAAGTCTATTATGTAACAACTTTGAATCAATCAAAGTTGAGCGCACATGGTTTATGCTCTTAGTATCTAAACTCAACCTATACATACCATTAACCATGAATGCACAGCCAAAATAACAAGACTTAACAACTAAAGTTACTTCAGCATTCATAGTTGAGAAAGGCATACAAGTTTTATCAAGGAAAGATACCAATTTCCTTTTAAGTAAAAGTATTACTCTAACTTGTTTTAGAGTTAGTAGTTTACTTGAAGAAAGAATCAAATTTATAGTTGAGAAATATATATCATCTTTATCAAGCAAAGATATCAATTTCCTTTAAGTAAAGGTACTACTCTAACTTGTTTTAGAGTTAGTAATTTACTTGAAGAAAGCACCAAATTTGCAGTTCCAACAAGAGTCATATTTGTCTCATCACCACTGCAATTTTCCACGGTGTCTTTCACTTCTATGACCTCAGTGAGTAAATTCCTATCATTTGTAGCAAGACAGGTAGCACCGCTCTCCAACTACTTCTCATAAGAGACACTGGTCTTTCCATTCTTCATCATCCCAATGAAAGTTTGAGGCTTAGGTTCATTAGTTAACATATTAGCCTCATTTTGTGGTGTGTTAATCTTTAACTTATTTGGTAGCTTACACTCTGCTGCCCAGTGATCCTACTTTCCACAGTTATGGCACTTGTCCTTCTTCTTTTGAAGATAGTCTCTCTCTTTTTTGGACTCTAACTATGAAGAAGATTTACCTTTTGGTGACTTAGACTTCTTATGAGGTTTGTTGGAAAGTGAAACTAAGTAGGAAACTAACTTTTGTTGTCCTATTTGTTCCAAACTCTTCCTAGAAAAGTTTTGATCCTAAATATAAATAAACTTCTTAACTTATCCAATTCACTCTGTTCTTTCAGTCTTGAAAGAACTCCATTCAGCAGGTAGTTTACTCAATGCAATATCGACAAAAAAATTATCAGGCATATTAGATTTATCATCTTTTAGCTTGTTCCTTATGTTCTCAATTTAATTAACTGAGTTCGTATTAAATTTGAATTCAAAGAACTTATATGCTATGAGAGTTTTGGAGAGCCCCTCTTGTTTTAGAACTACGCATTCAAGTGATTTCATATCTTTTTCATCGTCTTATGTTCACTATAAGTCATAGCTAGATGAATATTTAGAAAATTTAGTAAGTAATTCCTACAAAAATCTTCATTTTTGTCCGTTGATATTCATCCACAATTTTCAATGGTAGATGCAAAATCATTTAATACATTATGAAATATTTCATGTTCTTCCATGTCAAATTGAACATGTAATTTCCAACCAGAAAATTC